CAAAGTCTTTTCTTTAATCAAAGCAGTCATTTTTGCAATCGCAGGCAACTCCATTAACGTCAGCATTCATTCTTCCCTTGTGGGGGATCTGTTAAGCCCTTCCATCTCTGAGAATACAAAAGACTTGCTGCTGCTGTTGTCATGGATATGAGCAAAGTCCCATGGTTTTTTTTCAACCTGTTCATCTATCAAACATAAAGAACAACCTCTGGTTTCAATTTTACGTTCATTTTAAGAATTCACTGAATTAAAGTGTGTATCAGTAATTAGAATTTAAACTAAAACCCATGAAACGTGAGTTACTTAGTGTTTCCTTAAGCATTAAAGCTAGCTGGGTGATTTGGGGCCAATCATTCTCTCTGAGGTGAAGGCTAGGAAACTGAAAAACATCTACCTCACCCCACAACTTGGTGGATTATGGTCCATAATTTTCAATGAGGCCATCATCTTATACTGATTTGATTAAGGCTGATAATAATGACAATGATGATAATAATAATTTTGTTTGCTTTTCGTATTTCTTGTATTACATTGCCAATCCAACATAAAGATGCAACACTAACTTCTTGTCTTTTGATTGCCAGATCTCTAGAATGTGCCAGGGAAATAGTTCTGCTATATTGTTAATTGAAATTCACGGTACATCAACACAAAGACTTTAGACTTTAGGCACGCTGGCTGAGGAACTCTGGGAGTTGAAGTCCACAAGTCATAAAAGGGCCAAGTTTGAAGACCCCTGTTTTAGATGGGGAAGTTTTGTTAATATTTTACTTTCAGTAGACTGAAATACTAATCTATTCAGAAGTTTTATCATTCTGTCTCAGGCATAGGAAAGGTCCAAAAGCTGCCTCAATTTTTCACTACATCCTAAGCTAAGATTTTGGCAACTATACCCTGAATCATCCCAACCCTCATTAAATATTTTTAAAAAAGAAATTTAAATTGCTTGAAACAATGCTAATAAACAAATCATTCTCTTTGTAACATTTTCTTAATTAATCAACTGTAATATTAAATTTTCCTAGTTCAAATCTTCCTGTGATTATGGATTCCTCCACTTCTTTAAATGAACCCTCGGCATCATATTAAAACTTGGGGAATATTAATAATGAATGTCTATTTTTAGTAAATCCTTTTTCTTTAATTTTAGCACACCACAATGCATTCTTAGTTACAGTTAGTAATTTGTGGTCAAAGTTCTCCATTATCCACAGTATCAATCATATGAAACAGTCCAAATGACAAAACAACCTCAAAAATATTCTTTCTAATACAAGCAAACAACAACACAGACAAAACCCAACACAATTATAACAACAATGAGAAATAAGCAATTAGTTCTGGTTATGTTACTGGGCCTGGGGCACTAGAATAGAATATTAAGAGTTGGAAGGGACATTGGAGGTCTTCTAGTCCAACTCCCTGCTCAGGCGAGAAGACAAATGGTTGTCCAATCTCTTCTTAAAAACTTCCATTGTTGGCACATTCACAACTTTTGGAGGCAAGTTGTTCAACTGATTAATTGTTCTAACTGTCAGGAAATTTTTCCTTAGTTCTAGATTGCTTCTCTCATTAATTAGCTTCCATCCATTGCTTCTTGTCCTGCCTTTAGGTGCTTTGGAGAATAACTTGACTCCCTCTTCTTTGTGGCAACCCCTGAGATATTGGAACACTGCTATCATGTCATCCCAATTCCAGCAACCATTCTTTATATATTTTAGCCTCCAGTCCCCTGATCAACTTTGTTGCTCTTCTCTGCACTCTTTCTAGAGTCGCAACATCTTTTTTACATCGTGGTGACCAAAACTGGATGCAGTACTCCAAGTGTGGCCTTACCAAGGCATTATAAAATAGTATCAACACTTCATGTGATCTCGATTCTATCCTTTTGTTAATGCACCCTAGAACTATGTTGGCTTTTTTGGCAGCTGCAGCACACTGCTGGCTCATATTTAAGTGATTGTCCACTAGGACTGCAAGATCCCTCTCACAGTTACTACTATTGAGTGAAATACCACCTATACTATACTTGTGCATTTGGTTTTTCTTGCCTAAATGTAGAACCTTACTTTTTTCACCATTGAATTTAATTTTGTTAGATAGTGCTCAGTGTTCAAGTCTGTCAAGATCCTTCTGTATCTTAGGCCTATCTTCTGGAGTGTTGCCTATTCCTGCCAACTTGGTGTTGTCTGCAAATTTGATGAGTTCCTCATCTATCCCATCATCCAAATCATTGATGAAGACGTTGAAGAACACTGGGCCTAAAACAGAGCTTTGGGGGTACCCTGCTGCATACGTCCCTCCATGTAGGTTCAGTTCCATTGAAGACTACACGTTGAGTGTGGTTGGTCAGCCAGTTATGAATCCATCTGGTGCTGATGCTGTCTAACCCACATTTTTCTATCTTATCAAGTAGTAGATTGTGGTCTACTTTGTCAAATGCCTTACTGAAGTCCAAGTAAATTATATCCATAGCATTTCTTTGGTCCACTAATTTTGTCACCTGGTCAAAGAACGCAATAAGATTTATCTGGCATTATCTGTTTTTGACAAACCCATGTTGGCTTTTGGTTATGACTTTGCTTGCCTCTAGGTCAGTGGTTCTCAACCTGTGGGTCGGGACCCCATTTGGGGTCGATCGACCATTTCATGGGGGTCGTCAAGCAAGGCTGTCCGCCATTTTTTTGTCCGTCATTTTTTTGTCCGCCATTTTTTTCCCCTTTTCCGGTGGGTGCCTTACCTCCCTTGGGCTGGGCCAGCTGGTGGTCAGCCTGCTCCATCTCTGCCGCTTGCCAGCTATGCCTCGGCCGGCGCAGGGGGCGGAACCACGCATGCGCGGTGCTCCCGGGCAGGGAAAGTCCTCGACTTACGACCGGTTGGGTAGTCCTCGACCTACGACCGGTTTAGTCCTCGACCTACGACCGGTTGGGGTCACGGCATTAAAAAGGTTGAGAACCACTGCTCTAGGTGTTTACTATTTCTGGTTATGTTCCCATGCCTGGAGCACTGAATGTGTTAAGGGCCCATTTCCTGGCTAAATTGCTAACTTGCCAAATATTTGCTCTTGTGTATATTGAATTTGGAAATTTTTCATGTTTTTACTGTTTTACCATTTTTGTTGTTTTAATATATTTTTTAAGTTTTTAATCATAATGGATTTNCTCTCTCTCTCTCTCTCTCTCTCTCTCTCTCTCTCTCTCTCTCTCTCTCTCTCTCTCTCTCTCTCTCTCTCTCTCATAGTCCTCAAAGCCTTGTTCTGAGTCCTGTTTTTGTGTTTAAATGTTATTGCTTTATCTTTCTGATATATCAAACCTTCTGATTGCCAGTTGGATCAGCTTCTCCTCATACCTGGCATTGCCATTCTCATTCTCAATAAATTGGAAACTGGAGCCACTTTTGCTGGTTATAGGTTGCGCTTGCCCAAACATGTGGTTTTGTATGTTTTGCAAAAATCCTTAACAGATGTTTTCCCCACAAGAGATAACAGGTTTTGCCTTCCTATATCAGATCACATTAACTGCATGCTTTCCAAAGTAGAAACACAGGATAAGAATAGGAGCAACCTTTTCAAATCAGACTTAATCAAATATGGCTTCATATTAAACTGCACTGCCATACTCCATCCACCATTTTTGCCAAAATAGTTTAGCTTGATCATATAAAAAATGTTTGGACCCCAATTCTGGGTTCCTGGAAATTAATGAAGACAATGGGGTGGCTGCAAGGTTGCTATAGACAGTGGCCTTATTTACATACTGGTGTGGCTTTCTAATAAATGGAGAGTGAACCATATTTTTTAATTTTATAGCAGGGGTAGTCAACCTTGGCTCTTTTATGACTCGTGGACTTCAACTCCCAGAATTCCTGAGCCCCCATTAATATGCCCACCAAAGTGTACCTATCTATCTACTTGTAATTATTCACTTTTGAATTGTTAGGTTGTCAATGACTGGAGCTCACCCCATCATGAAGCAGTACTCGGGTCTCAAACGTAGGCTTGCTGATTGTCAACCCAGTGGCCCAACCACATGAGCCACCATACTTCTGACAGGCTTATGAGGAAGTCCAGACAAGAAGCTGGATCCAGGAGTATTACTGTACCTTTACTGTAAGATTTCATGAACAGACTCTTGCAAGCCTGAAAGTACCTCTCCAGTCCCTTACTTTCACTCTCCTGAAAACTAGGGAGGGTCTCTTCTGGGTTGCCTTTGTCATCCCTCTCCATTCAGGCTCAAAATTTGTTCATCGCATCTTTGTCTCAGCTACAGCAATTCCTCCTGTCTCCCAATGTCATTCCCACAAACCATTAGAAAAAGAAAGACAAGGCTATAAAGCAGGGGTAGTCAACCTTGGGCAACGGTGATGTCACCAGCTAATTCTTCCAACCCAGAAGCACTTCAATACCTCTGACACAATTGCATAGATACATAAGGCCAACACAAATCTTGCAAGTCTATAGATACCCCTCCCATCCCTCACTTTTGTTCTCCAGTAACCTGCATCCATCAGCAGCTTGAAAGCAGGTGATTCAGTTTTCAGCTCACCCAGTTCATTGCTGAATGAATGAAGACATGGTTTAGCATCAATTTTAATTTATGGGAACATGGGAAGCAAAGCTGTGGTTCTGATAGGATATATTTTTTAAATAAACAAGACTTCAAATAAACAAGCTAATCGTGACTTTTGCTAGCTCAAAATTAATAACAAATTATGATTCCTTAAAAAGTGTTTTGAATGCTTAGGAGTTCTAATTTTCAAATATAATAGAAGAGGTAGATACTTAAGCTTCAGATATATTCATTTGGCCCATATTCACATTAGTGTGAATCTAAACAAAGAAAAAGGAAGTGCTAAGTCATAAAAATGTACAATAGGTATAGTTTGTTCATGCAGCAGTTATAGATTAGCTAGTATTTTTCATTTTCCATTACTCCCTCTTGTACAAAGGGAAAAAATGAATATCAATACAAACTAATGATCTCATTTCTTTATAATTCTAGGTACTATTAGCTCCACCATGAAAACCATTGCTGAGTGTAGTTGCAAATTTGCTATAGACTATTTGAAAAGGCACTTCAAGGAGAACTCTGAGAAAAATATGATTTTATCCCCAATATGTGTGGAGCTGGCATTGATCTCGCTCTACGCTGGTTGCCGCGGAACCACTGCTGAACAAATAAGACAGGTAGGTGTTCTCAAGTACTTGTGTTCCTTAAAAATAGTTATTTTAAGTCTTATTAAATTATTAATTAGAGATCACACATATAATCCCATCTATGTTATTGCTAGAAAATGTTTCTTCTTAGTATCTTGCCACATATCTGCATGGAATCATGCGAAAATATCTATTAGTAGCCTTTCTTCCCAACTGGACTTTCCAAAATTCCTTGGAAATGAATCTTTATAGATCAGGGGTGTCCAAACTTTTTTCAAAGAGGGCCAGATTGGATGAAGTGAACGTGCTGGAGGGCCGAACATTTTTCCGAACATTCTTTGAACCATTACAATTAAATGCAAATGAATTATTTTATGCCTCTTTCCTCTCCCTCTCTTTCCTCTTTCTCTCTCTCTCTCTTTCCTTTCCCTTTCCTCTCCCCTCTCT